CAGGTGCTATGCTACTTTTATTAACATTTGGTCTACCAACAATTTAACTTGTTGGAACATAATCTTATTCATCGAAAAAATGTATAATTCAATTTGTAAGTAGTTACATACACAATTTTTCTGCCTCAAAAAAAATGATCTCAATTATACTATTGTGTATTGTCACTTAGCAGATGCGATGCATGTTATTAACATGATCTTGTGTTTTGTCAACATCATATTTCATTTGGATCAAACTAAAACACAAGCAGAGTTTAAAGTAAGTGAATATGGTTTTGTCCTAATTACTTTTAGTTCAATAGAATGCTAAGTCTTGTTCTATAACCAACACTATCATATCGGGCTCAAATTTATTGATTGACTCATATAAATACACTAAAAAAATATTGTCCAAAAGTATGTAATTTCTACTCATATAAATGGTTTGGAATATTGGAACTAATATGATTTAGAAGCAAACATGTAATATGTTGAATATGGTCTCGTAACAACTTTTCAATTTTCATTTTCTTTTTGAATTCTAACCCAAAAGCACCAGCACTGTACTTGACAGCTTTTTCACTACCATTTTTGTTATTATTTTTGGAATATTGGAGTTGTTATGAGCTGGAGTATTGAAGCTAAATGGTTGTTGATATTAGAGCTCATATATACAATAATTGACTTGCTTTACTTTATTATTGTTCTTGCCATTGTAAATGGATGTACTCTTGATCCTTTTTTTTTTAATCTTCCAGCGTCTCTTGGTCTTATCCACTTAAATTAAAGAATTTTTCTTCAATGCAAAGTAAAGATTTCATCCAATGCTTCGATCCTTCCAAGTTTATCCCAGGAACCTAGATGTCTTCTTCCTTTCCTAAGTTCAACTCTTTGCTTCATCTTGTATTCCTAGGTGCTGTCCACTACCGTCTTGCTCACCTCGACACCTCGACATAGTTAACCTTAAATCAAACAACAAATATATCAAACAGCTAAAAGGAGCGACTATTATGCTCCAAACAAATTAATGTAAAAAAAAGAACTAAAATGAACTAAAGAAACAACTAAAAAGCAATTTAACTAATAATAAAGAAAAGGTTAAAGTATGTAATAACTCACAAAATATGGGTTATCAAGAGAACAATTATACATTTCTTCACCAACAATTTATAAAAGAGTTAAAGGCGCATAAATAATCACACACGATGTTATACGGGAAAAAAAATAACATTTTGATGCAATTCATAAATCTCTTATTCTTTGTGTTAGCGGTCCGATCCCGAAGGAAAAACGGACGTGCTTCTCTGAAATGGGTCATCTTATAGCAAGTGCACATAATATGGTAAGTATTGATATGACAAGATACGAGTTCTCATAAATATTTTTCCACTAAGGAGTGCTCCATCTCAAAATCCAAGTGATCGAATTATATGTATGGGATGGATTTCTAAATCACAGCATGTTGTTCAAATTTATCTTAAATCAGTAAGCCATATACCACGGACATCATCAGAGTGGACAACTAATTTAACAAAGGAAGTTGAAACTTGGTCGGATCATTTTATGTATAGGATGCAAAAATTCACCAAGTTAAGCGAGATTGAAAGAGAATCAAATAAACAAAATTCAAAGGTGGAATCACCCATAGATATAGATTTAGGCAGTAACACATGTTTCAAAGTCTGGCATGTAGCCTATCAAAGACTTATTTTTAGACCTAAGTTTAATATTTTTTTTGAAGGATTGATTGGCCTATTAGCCTACTTAAAAGCCTATTTCATTTGAACATTTATAAATAAGCAAATCAACTAATATTTAAATTGACTAACAAATTAAAAGATCAATGAAACTAAATATTTGATTGTATTGACTTATTTAAATTTACATAGTAGCATAAATATTGTGATACAATTTATTTGAGAGAACTTAGGAAAACAACTTATGACATTCTTCATAAGATTTTTTAAACTTTTTTCATAAGTTCTTAAAATAACTAAGTTTTATTTTTTTTTCATTTTAATTCAATATACTAAATATAATATAATAATAATAATAATAAAATTATTCATATTTATATAAATAGGTTAGTCTGATAGACTTAAAAGACTTTTTTTTATAGATTATAACTATTCTTTTTAACTAAATAGACTTATAAAAAAACCTAGGTCTTTTCTACTTAAAAAAGCTTAGGACCAATGAAGAGATAATTAAAAAGGGAGAGTAGACCAGTACACCTAAGCCGAAGAAATAAAATATGATCATGTAAGACAAAAAGTTTCCCTGAGAAGTCTAGAAGGAGAAACGACTCTCCGCGTAAGAAACAATCTTCCGCTGAAACAAATCATCACCAAAGAAGTCAATCAAAGCCTTAGAAAAATTTGATAAAAGTAGGGATAATAGAGACGATGAAGGAAGTTCAAAGAGAAACATGGCCATTCATAGCTTATGTTATAAGGGGTAAAACTTCATTGCATGGATCACTAGAAGGTTCCTTCGCTTGAAGACACGATCAAATGGGATCGTAAAAAGAAAGATCGACGAGTTGATGGCGATAGATAAGAAAGGAGAAACGTTTGTTAAAGGGAAACTAAAAAGACACACCATAAAATTCAAAGACAGCTAGAAGGCAGACGAAATTCTCAACATGATATTTCCTTTAGTAATAAAGGCAACTATGATTGGTTTTGATATCTTCATATTTTAAGTGTGGAATATTCAATTGAGACATTGATAACAAGATCAAAAAAATAATTTTAAATTTATTCTAGAGGTGAAAAACATACATGCTCGTCTCGTTTGGATATGCCCTATAGAAGGCCGAAAAAAACTGGAGGGGCACATGAGAAACATAGTTGCCGACGAGTCTAAAATCTTGTTGTCCTATAAAAAAATTGCGAGAAAAAAAATGTAACGAACCAGAGTTTTGTCACAACTAGTTTAGTCTACATCAAAAGCAGCCAACACATTAGAAAGCAACTAACACATGGGAATAGGAGGAATACTTGTGAGATGTAATGATAAGCTGATTTAGAAAAAGGGGTGGCATTCATCCATCATATGATTCCAATTATCATGAGCGTATTGACTCTTAGAAACCCAAAATTTTGTGGCCCGACAGGCACTACTTAACCAGGCACGCCCAAATAAGCACACTATGCATAACCGAGACATCAATCATCACCTGTAAAGTGTCACACCTTACTCATCTCATTTTCTTGCAATAACCTCTCGCATCTTAATTTGTTTCTTTTGTTTCCGCTGAGCCTTATATTCCTCGTTTATGATGAGAGGGATGCTTGTACCTGCACATGGGACATTGTTAAAGTTAACCGTAGATATTTTATGTCCATGCATGATTCCGTGCATCAGCTGCAGTTGCATATCCGAGAGACTCACGTCGATCATAGGTTGGGTACTCGCAATGAGTTATGCGCTCATGCTAATTGGCCTGAGGGCAAGCCATTTCGTCTAGAGGGGGAAGCAGTAATTGAGGAGGAAGAGGAAACTAGTGGAGATGGTAGTGAAGAAGAAAGTGGAGAGGATGAAGTGTAGCAGAAAAAAGTTGAGATTAAGCCATTAATTGACTCAATTCACAAAGTGAAAGTCGCCACCGCACTTTATTGTTTCCAAAGAGAAATGGAAAAAGAGCGAATAAAACCCAAAATAAAATAGAGATCAAGGTAAGTGGGTTGGTTATGTAAAGGGAAGATATTCGCACCCTAAACATCTACGATACCCAGCAAGAACCTCTTTGAAAATTTGTGTATTTGGCTAAAAATGGTTGTTTGCAAATATGACCGGAGAGATGGGAAAATAAATTGTATTTATTATTTTGATTTGGGAAAACCTCGAGGGATTTGTGCCTACATATCAACCAAGTGCAATGAAGAATCAAAATCACATAGTTCTTCTAAAAAAGAACAAAACTTTGACTGTTGATTGATTTTAAATGAAGAGACAAGTCGTCATTTTTAGGAGAAGACTCGCCTAATCGCCCACAAAGCATGAGAAATAGGGACAACGCACCAACATGAGGGAGGGTTTAAACACACCTCTAGTACTCAAGTGGAAATGTCAACATCTTTACAACCATGGAGATAAGAGAATGACATCTCGACTATAAATGACTCATGTCTAATATTGAAAAAAGTTTTAAAGGAGAAAAGGTGTACGAGAGCACAAAAAGGTTTGGATGAGGTTGAATGTTTTTTAGTCTTTTTGGAAGTGTTAGAATATGCTTATGTGGTTTAGCATTTGATTAAAGAAAAGAAAAGGAAGTTTGGAAAAAAAATTACTTGACAAAGTCAAGGTTTATTGCGAAAGCAGTTCGAGTTTAGAAAAACAAAAAAGTTTTAAAAAAAAAACTGAGAAGGTTTTGAAAATTGAAGAACGGAAGGAGATAAAGAGACTCTCCTAACACTATAAAAAAAAAGGGAACTTGTGGCAGTTAATTTGGTAAACAGTGGCGGTTACAATGTCGTTATTAACATGAATGGCGTTTTTAAAAAATACCCTAAATTTTTATGCCGCTAGGAATAAAATGACGGTTTGACTAAGATCTCCATACTAATCGCCATAATGTACATTGTTTAAAGCAATGGTTTTAATCTGGTTAATAATGGTCGTTTAAAACGCCATGATAAACAATTTATACTACAAAATTTATAATATTATGGCGGTTGAAACCGCCATAATATACATTATTTCTACTAAAAATAAAGATGGAAATAATACTGAATATTTTTTCCCACGAGAACTACTAAGAGATGTTTGAATCAATTATACATGATTTGATATTAATGCACCAACATAGTCAATAAAATGAGTTTTACAATGAAAAAAAGTCGAACAAACTTAAAGTTTATTTTAATTATGCTAAGTACATAAACTTTAGTATCAGAAAAACTAGTGGCTAATGAACATGAACATGGTTTGAGTCAAGAAAAGGTGAACAACACTTTGAAGCACCCTCACTAAAAGAACTTTTTTGCTTAGTTTCATGACATAGTACATCCATTTGTTCAAAGAATCTGCTTTTGCTGCACAATTTCAAGTTAAGACACATCTTAAAAGGTCACCAAAGACACCAAACAACCAAAAATTCAATACTTTACTCAAATAAGACATAAGCATGAAAATAGAGTAATGATATAAAATTGATGCTAAAGTAGCACCAAAGTAAAGAAAAATAAAAGAAATAATAGACAAACCAAGTATTGCAGTAGCTTTTAAGTTAAGGCCAAACCAAATTTTCTTTGCTATTTTGATATTTTTATATATAATTAAATAATTTATATCTATTTTGATATTTAGAAGGCATCTCATATTTGGTTTCAGTTTAATTTTCTTTCTCGTTATGATGGATGCAAATGAATGCTTAACTAATACATGGTGGATGCAATATGTATAGTATGATAGTGCTATAATTGAAGTGCTATAGAGTGGACAGATGACTATATATGTAGTATGACATAGAAGAGGAGAACATGTAGAATGTCTTATTGACTGCAACTCACACAATCATAATAATTGAGTTGAAGTTAAAGCTGTTTCTCCTCCCAACCCATCTATTGAAGATGACGTATCACCGCCATATCTCAGAAAATTCTGGTGGGGTTCTGCTTTTTATTTTACTATTTACTATTTTCCATTTTATTTTCCACTAACCTTAAAGTTAATAGTTTGTTATACAAACAAGTCATTTTACCATTTACACAATGAAACAAATCCTTCATTCACATGCATCAATAATGTTGGAAGTGCAAAAAATGGTAGTACTAAGAATATTACTTGAGTGAAGAAAAAATAGATTTTTGAACATAAAAATTGCTTACTTTCCATAAGGATTTTCCAAACAAATGAGACTTGTGATCGAATAAATGAGCTTCCTCTTTTGATATTTGACTGGTAGCCTTGATCAAATCAAAGTCCGAGGTTCCTTCTTCAATGTTTCTAACTGTTTTAGATTTTGTCTCGCCTATACTTGCAATGCCTCGATTCTCATAAATATAGATATGAGAATAGTCTCCCAATATACCTTTGCTTCCCCGAGAACTGATGAACATAGCAGAGGTAGTGAGACAATGAACTAGCTATTCAGACATGAAAAGGAAACGTGAATCTAAATAAAGTGTAAAAGTAAAACAGATTAATTTACAACCTGAGGTTGAGATGTCCCTTTTGCTTCATTTTTTATTCTTGAATTGAATATCGTAATATACATAACGTTGAGATTATATCCATGGTCTAGAAGTGATGGCTTCATGACCCCGAAAACCTGACATTATGAATGAAGTTCACCTACAATTGCATTTCACTTCAACTATAATCAATCTTCCTGTTAATGTTAAAAGAGTAAATTTGATCTACTACACCAAATTTATCAAATCAAATAAAAAAATTTAACTAACAATTCAACGCTTTCAATGTAAGGATAAATGGTCATGAATCCACATGCTGACATCACGACTCTAAAGTTTCAAACAATGAATTTTTCTTTTATTCAACTATAACATCTTTATATGAATATGATAATCACTATCTATTACTTATAAGGAACATGGAACATGATCTTTCTTCTATATGGGTCCACTATGCCATCTCAAACAATCTCTACTAGTCTCTGAAATATATCTTACAAAAATCATATTAATTGATAAACCATCTCAAAGTACTAATCATAAATAATGACTTCAAACTATCTAATGAAGTCTCTGAATACAATCTATTGAATTAGGAGAGACTAAGAGACATTTAGGTTAAACCGCGTGTTTTGAAAAGCACTACGGAGACTTTATTATATATTGAGAGATTATAACTAATGCTATGATATAATCGATGTGGGACTATTCTACATACAAATATTCTTAACACTATATATATATGGTGAGCCAGGTTCCCTAGAATGACGGGGGATAATGACATATGGGACTTCCGGAAGAGGTGTGGGAGTACTCTCCTGAAAGGGTTCCGGAGTTACTTGGCTGGACTCGAAATATGGAACAGACTCGAAGAAGGTGACATCGACCGACATGAGGTATCGTTGTAGGGTATGTGAATAACAACGATAACCTTTTTGGGATCGATGATAACCAAGAAAAACACACTTTAGTGATCGAGCTGATAGTTTATCAAGACCAGGAGAGAGATTGTGTACAAAACATGTAGACCCGAAGACTCGGGGAGGAATTGGGTGAAGGGGGAATGGGGAAAAAGGATTGAATGAGGGATTTTATTGTTAAGGACAGATGATGGCATGCGATTTATAAGGTAACAAGCCGTTAGCACAACGTCTCCCCAAAACCGAAGTGGAACATTACCATGGAGAAGTAGGGTCCGAGTGGTTTCTACAAGATGCCGATTTTTGCGTTCGGCTACCCCGTTTTGTTGAGGTGTATGAGGACAAGATGTTTGGTGGAGAATACCATTACTGGACATAAAATTTTGAAATTGTTGGGATAAATATTCACGAGCATTATCATTTCTTAAGGTACGAATAGACACACCAAATTGAGTTTTTATTTCTTTATAAAAATTTTCAAAAATAGAAAATAATTCTGATCTATTTTTCATTAAAAATAACCATGTGCAACGTGAAAAATCATCAATAAAGGTGACAAAATACCTAGACTCAAGAGTAGAGATAGTACGTGAGGGACCTCAAACATCAAAGTGAGCTAAAGCAAAAGGGGATGAAGCTCGTTTATTGACCCGATTGGGAAATTGACTACGAGTGTGTTTCCCTAACTGACACGACTCACAATGTAAATTAAATACTTTCGATAAACTTGACATCAACTTCTGTAATTTGGGAAGACTAGGATGACCTAACTGGGCATAGATTGTGAGTGGAGAATCTTTGGTTGAGCATGTCTGAGATGACACTGAGAGGTAATAAAGACCTTGCGCCAATTGTCCGTCCCGAACTCCGATCCTGCATGGTGACATTACTATTAGTGAAAGTGACAATACAATCAAGAGAACGACTTAAACGACTGACTGAAAGTAAATTAAATGGACAATTAGGTACATAGAGAACAGAAGTAACAGAGAGAGAAGGTAGAATTTGAACAGTACCAATTCCTTCGGATCGGGTTTGAGAACCATTGGCAGAAGTTATTGTAGGTAAGAATAGGTAAGAAACCAGAGGTAGAGAGGGAAGAGAAAAGATTTTTATTACCAGTAACATGATCAGACGCACCAGAATCAAGGACCCAAGGTCCAAGAGAAGATGATTGAGAGAAGCAAACAGATGAATTACCAGTGTGTGCAACCGAAGCAGTAGAATCTGAGTTTTGATAACTCTGATACCACTTGAGGAAATCATCGTAGTTTGGCGTAAAGTTCTGAGGAGTAGCCATGAGTATCAGATTTGGAAAAGTTGCACGGTGGCGAGTGCGGTGGTGTTAAAATCGTCGGAATCGGCCGGATCGAAGGAGGCGCTTTTGCCGGAAGGTCGCCGAAATTAGTAGCAGCGGATGGCGGCAGCAGATCGGTGGTTACCGAAGAATTTTAGAAAGTGGAAGGCAAACCGGAGTGATGACACGGTTTGCAAAAAAAAAAATTTGTCACCGAAAGACAGTGGGTCAACCGGGTAAAACACGGCGAAGAATTGTCTCTTAGTAGACTCTAGATACCATATTGAATTAGAAGAGACTAAGAGACATTTAGGTTAAACTGTGTGTTTTGAAAAGCACTATGAAGACTTTATTATATATAGAGATTATAACTAATGCTATGATATAGTCGATGTGAGACTATTCTACATACAAATATTCTTAACACTATATATATATATATATATATATATATATATATATATATATATATATATATATATATATATATATATATATATATATATATATATATATATATATATATATATATATATATATCAACACAACCTAATATAAAATATTTTCCAACTACACCTGCTATAACCTGTTCCCTCAAATTCAATTCACTCAAAATCTCAAATAAGATGAACTACGGTGAAAATGAAAGGTACAAAAAGAATGAAAGGAATAATTTTATGAACCTCAAATTAAAGCGAGATGTAAGCAACAAGTGCAGACTTTTCTCTATGCTTAATCGAACCCTTGTTAAAGCCAACGTCCCTAAGGCGCTTCCAAACCTCTTGATTAGATAGAGCTAATCAAAACCCTAGAACCCGATATCATGGACAGGGGCTTGAAAGAACCCCAAGTGAGAATTGTGGGTCACCAATTTTCTAGATATGGCTGAAAAAGACGTAATTTGTGAACAAGTTTTTTTCAATCAAGAGAAAGTGGGCAAAGGTTTAAGAAGAAAGTGGGTAAAGGATTACAAAGAAATAGGAATCTGAATAACTTTATTATTTTATTTTAATGATTTTAGTAAAAACATGACATGTTTAGCGTAAATAATAAACATAAATTTAATTTAATTTTAATGTTGCTTTTTAAGAAAAATATATTTTTATGTGTGTGTAATTGAAGGGCTTTAATGTAATTATAAATTATGGCAGTTCAAAACGCTGTTACTTCCTTTATATTTTGAAGGAGTATTTATTTTGTAAATTATGGCGGTTTAAGATAACCGCGCTATTAAAACCGCCACACTTCCCCCATTTTTTTTGTAGTGTAAAGCATAAGGTAAAAGCTAAGGTAAGGAAGGATCTAACTAAACAAGAAGCCAACACTTGACATAAAAAAGTCAATACAACACTCACATCCCTTTGGATTAAAATCACTAGCAGAGAATAAACCAAAAGTGTACCGGACATCAAGTGGAAATAAATCACGAGCAAAGAATGCATCAGGTGAAAATAACAAGAGGGGAAAGTGCGTCAGCTAAGTCCAGTGTGTCAGATAAAGCTCATCGCATTAGATGATCATCATAATATCAGATAAGAATCTCTGCATCAGATGGAACTCCAAATAAACAGACAAAATTATGATAACAGAGAAATAAATCAGATGTCTCATGAAACAAAAACTCGAGTCAAAGTGGGTCAGAACCATGCATCAGAGCTAAATGAAACAAATGAAGCTTGCTTTTTAAATTTCATGTATAATTGAACATAGCTCAATCAATGCAAAATACATGTATGAATGAAGAAGTGAAGCAAGACATGAATCTCATGAAAGTTTTCCGAAACAAACTTCAAGCACGTCACTATTAAGGGACAAAACTTCAACTCATAAAAGAACTAAGATATAATCATCATAAGTGTCAAGTAAACAAAGATTGAATACTTTTCAAGAAAAGAAGAAGAAATAAAGTTCATGAGTTAAAACATGTTAAAATGGCTTCTTACATCTTCAAAATAATCATTTCATCCATCTAAACTAACAACACATGTTATGGATTAAAATTGGCATTCAAAATATATTCAAGACATGAGAAAACAAGATTGAAACAAGTTTTTGTCATACGAAACAAAACCGGACAACAACTATGCATATGCAATTTGGCTCACTAATTACATTTCAAGCATGCTTAGAAACACATGAAAATAGAACAAAGTCACAACCAACTTTCTCATTCAAAATTGTCTAAAAAATAAATCAAAACAATAGCATAAAACCCTCAAATTAAACACAACCAAAACTTTGTCAATTACTACCAAAGTTTCAATTAAATCAAAGCTCTATTGCCAACAAAGAAATACTATCATCTTTTAACACAAATTCAAGCAATAATGTCAACAAAGCTTCATTTAATTGGAAAGTTCTATTTCAAACCAAAAATTCCATACTTTTCACAATTTAACACCAATCTTTAACAACAATTAGCAACAATGATAATCCCATAACTATGTCATCACTACCTTCCTACCAATGAACTCACAACATCATCACCATCAATTTCAATAACAATGTCAACACTTAAATTCACATTAAACCCACAAAAATGTCATCAAGATTTAAACATAAATAGCACTATTCATCATCTTCAACCTTTTAACACCAACCAAAGTTATCTCACTAATTTCAACAATATCACCAATCCTCAAACAACAATTAATATTAATCAATTAACAACATTGTCAATTCAAAACCAATCTAACAATAATATCATTACCAATTCAACACTACAACCATAGTTTCATCCTAACAATTCATTATCACAAAACCAAAACTAACAATTAATCCCCATCTTACTTAGCAAAATTAAAATCACATTTAAACTATAAAAATGGTGGA